GCTTCATCCGAGAGATTACCTAGAAGAGCTTATTGGAGATCAAGATCTAGCTTGGGTAATTTAGTTTTAGGTTTTATATTATGTGTGTTAGTACTTTAAGCTCAATCATACACACACATACACGCTTTGGTTTTGGTTTTGTATATATACAGTTATATATATACATATATGTTTTTGGTTTAATTATTTTCGAGTTTATATATGAAACAAATGAATAATTGGAAAATACTATTTTGTTTCATGTTTATATGCCTATATATGATTTCACCTTTAACAAGCTTATATTTAATGAAATCATATTTAGTGTTTTGAATATATTGCATGCAAATTTATGAAAATATTGTATTTCTAGTTTATAGACTTTATAACAACATGTTATATCTTTTATCAAGTCTATACAATCATTTCATAAGGTTTCAAAATGTTGTTTAAGTCAAAATATCAAAATATCAATTTTCAGGTTTTCATGTTTTGGACTATTTTGCAAAATGATGACATTTTTCATTTGGGAAGTCCTTTTTCGAAACCAGTTTTTGTAGCATGTGTATTATCATGTCTACAATCATTCCCCAAAGTTTTACATTTTTTGGAATTTATTTGATATTTTTAAAACAGTATTTTAAAATCAGCAAAACAGTTTTCAGAACCTGTCATATCAGTTTTCGGTCGACCGCACCGGTCGACCGAACCCGAGGTCAGAAGTTCACTGGGCGACAGAAAGCCTGTCGGTCGACCGGTCCGGTCGACCGATGAAAATTTTCGGTCGACCGACGAATTTTCCGGTCGACCGACGATGTTGTTTTCAGCTTCCAACGGCTAGTTTTTTGACCGTTGCCTTGGGGCTGTTTTGTCTTTTGCTCTGATTTTTTGGCTGAGTTTTGAGAGGGTATATATACCCCATTGCTGATGTCTTTTCAAACCAACTAAGAGAGTTTTTAATCAAGTTTAATAAAGTTTTTAACAAGGGTTTTAGTTTGGTTTAAGTGTGTTTAAAAAGCTTTTAAGCAAATTGAGAGTTTGTTTTTGTGATTCAATTCTACAAGAGCTTAAGGAGATCAAGGGTTTGAGTTTGTTTAGTTTGTTTTTGGGGTTTGCTGTTACAAAGAGGAGTTTGCATCACCAGTTGAGGATTTCATCCTCAAAATCTTCTCATCCTCTCTTTGTGTTTATAGAGAAGTTTTCTAACTCTTTTCCCTAGCAATTTCATTATTGAGTTATCATATATTAATTATTGCTAGTTTGCTATTTGAGTTAGATTTCATTTTACTCATTGTTACACACACCCACATTGAGCTTTTAGTATTTACATACATAGTATAGTTGGGTGGTGAGAGATTGTAACATTGAGTTGTGCTTAATTGAGTTCTCACCTATTGTAGAGAACAAATTTATATTTGTTACATTGTGAGTGTTGTAAGGTTTTCGGTGAGCTAGAAACCGAGTGTGTAGTGAGGTTTTCGGTGAGCTAGAAACCGAGTGTGAGGAGTGACGTTGATCGGTGAGCGTTGAAAACCGATACTGTGAGGTGTAAACGTTATTCGGGTGAACGTAGAAAACCCGGTTGATAGTGGATTTCTCCCCGGGAGTGGGGAGCGGAGACGTAGGACGGAAGGTCCGAACTCCGTGATCATATCTTGTGTTTGAGTGTGCTTTGGCGTTTATTTATACTTGTGTTTATAATTCTTGTTGCCATTGTCATTAGCTCATCATTTATATGATCCACTATCTAGTTCATATTGTTTACCCTTGTGTTAGTTTATATATCCTTGCATATATCATATAGTATACCTCTTTGCTAGGATATATCACCTTGTGTATATTGCATATTCTTGCACATAACCCTTTGTACACCTATCTTGCAAGAATATAACTTGTTAATTAATTTTAATTGGCATTTAATCGGATTAGATTAGCATAAGACCCTAATCACCCCCCCTCTAGGGTCTAACAATTGGTATCAGAGCTTGGTGCTCTTTGATTTAAGGTCTAATCGCCTTGAGTTAAAGATCCAAGTTATATTTTTGTGCTAATCTTGTTTTGATTGCATTTGTATCTTGCTTGCATATTTTTACAAATTATGGATATGAATGATGCATCTTGTTTAGGCTATGATTCTAGTGTTGCTCCTAGATTAGACAATTTCCCCTATGCCCAATGGTGTGTTAGATTTAAACTTTTTGTTCAATCTAAAAACTTTGATTTATGGGAAATTATTGTTGATGCTTACATTGTGCTCACTTCGGAGAAATCCAAGTGGAATAAAAATGATCATCGCATGTTTACTATGAACAACATTTTGTTAGAATATTTGTTAAATGCTTTTAACTCATCTATGTCTAACAAGTTTGTTCATGTTGATAGTGCTTACACCTTATGGAAATTAATTGAAGCACATCAAGGGGACTTGGAGGCGATCCAACAAGCTTTGGAGAATCTAACTTCAAGTTCATACGGAGCAACATGCACACGGCCACTAGGCGATAGCCCTAGTGAGGTTTGCGAGTTCGAAACCATAAATGATTTACCTAATGATGAACTTGCTTGTGCTAGTGAAAAATTATTACATACCTATAACAAATTGCAAAATGATTTTAATGATTTAAAAAGCAAGCATGATGTTTTAAAATCCGATCATGAGAAGCTAGTGTCCAAATTTGATGTCATTGAAAATGAAAATACTATGCTTAAAGAAAGCAATGACTTATTAAATTTGGAAAATGGAAATTTGATTTCATCTATTGCTAGCCTATCTCATGCTAAGATTGATGCCATGTTAGAAGTAGAGAACATAAAGAATGATACAGCTTCTTTTATAAATAACTATTTATGTTCTACTTCTAAAAATGCATATGTGCCTAAAAATGAAGATTTGAATCTTATGAAAAATAGTATTTCATCTTTAGATTCAACTTTGAAAATATGCATTAATAATCATAAGAGGCTTATGGACATGTGTGCCAAGACTAAGTCAAAATCATCCACTCATTATGCACACATGTATAGCAAAACTTATAAGTGTTCTATTTGCGGCCGTCAAGGTCATTTAGCTAAGTTTTGTTATGATGCACACAAACATAAGAATTCTAATGTTCCTTGTGCATCTCATATAGCTTCTTCATCTTGTACACTTACACATTCACATGCTCATTCTCACAAAGTTCATCATAAGCATGCTAGTGTGTTCAAGTGTGATTATTGTGGTCGTTTTGGTCATTTGGCCAAATATTGCTTTGATTTGAAAAGAAAATCTCATTTGACAAATGCTTCCAATAGACCACATGTTTTTAAATGTGATGTTTGTGGTAGGTTTGGACATCTTGCTAAATTTTGTTTTGATATACAAAAAGCTTCTAAATTGCAATATGTTCCAAATAGACCATTGTTTAAGAATGTTTCTCATTTGCAAAATAATTTTAAAAGAAAATCTTTATTTGCAAATGATTCCCGTGCACGAGCTAATGGTCCACAAAAACAAATGGATCTCTTTCATTGCACAAATTGCAATCGGAAGGGTCATTTGAATGAATATTGTTTTGACCATGTTAGTGCACCATATGTGCCTAAGAGGGTTCATAACCCTAAGGCTTTGAGCTTTAATGATAGGGGTCATGTCCCTAAATCTTTTGGTACCAAGAGTTCTTGGGTACCAAAACAAATTTAAATTTTAAACCAAGAATTTTAGTATTCTTATTTTTCCTTTTTCTTGGTTATTTGAAAATTATGCTTTGAAACTTTTTATGAAAACAAATTTTCTTTGGTCAAATTCTTATGTTTTCATAATTCCTAGTTTTGATTTTGATGAGAGGTTTGTATTTATATAACCCTCCGGATTTATTGGGTGTTTATTCCCAAATCATGTTTACCGGATGCTAAAATGTTCATATGGGTTAATACTAACTCAAGAGCTAGATAGAGTTGCCTCTCTTGATTTTTGAAAATCAATGATGATTTGGTTTTATGATTTAAACTTTGATTTATGATTTCAATTGGTTGATTTGTTTTCATTTGAAAACTTTTTACATGATTCTCATGTTTCTCTTATTTTGATTTCATAAATCTATTTTATATATTGGCTTTTATGATATGAGACAATATGTTCATCTTGATATATTTATATATGTTCTCATTATCTCTTGAATGTGAGTGATTTTTGGCATATTATTTATGCTTGCTCACATGTTTGCCATGATCTTTTATTGCTTATATTTCATATGGCTTTTTGATAGGGGGAGCTATTCCCTATATTTGCTTTGTACTCACCCATGCTTATTGATAGGAGGAGCTTTCGCTCTCTTTATACCTTTGTCCCTTTTTTGATGTTGTCAAAGGGGGAGAAATATTATGAGTATATGTATA